ACTCCGGTCCAGCAGTGTTGTGCTTGCACTCACAAACCAGACTCCCATCTCGGTCCTTTACGCACCGAGACGCGTGCCCGTTGCATTTGCATCTCCCTCCGACCTGCAGGTCCGACACAGCGTAAAAGTACGAGTCCCGGGCCAGTTCCGAGTCGTCCTCGTTCTCGTCGCCGAAAGTGTGCAACCGGCTGAAGATGACTTTAATGTCAGTGGCCGTTACCCAATCCTGCAGCACCGGAGAGTTGTCAAAGTCGTGCGCCGACGGTCTCCCGTCCAGCGTGCTGAAGGCGATGAGCCCGCCGGTCAGAGGGTACATGTCGGTGTGGGAGTCCGTGCAGACGGCCTCCTGCTCGTTCTGCTTCGTGATAACGGCCCTGTTTGGCTTGTTGTACATCTTCCTGCACTGAGTCGAGTAAAACTGAAACGGTACCCAAGTTTTGCCGTAGTCCATGGACTTGTAAATAACCATGGATTCAGGTCGAGGCGAGCAGAACTGTAGGCTCACATAGGTGACCTCAAACTTCTTGCCGAGGGACAGAGTCAGGGTGACATTTTGCGGGTACTGGATGAAGTTCTCGGACTGCCAGCAGGTGAGGTTGTGTGGGTTGTTGAGGTCCGTCAGGTACGCTGGAGGGTGATACTTCTTGGGGTCCGAGGCATCGCAGGTGTGACAGTTCCTGGTCCTCTCGTCTCCTTTCTCCGCCGATGTCACCACGCAGTAACGGCTGGGCGTCTTGCCGCAGGTGCTGGACACCTTCACTTCCTTCCCGAAGGCGGAGTTGACGAAGTCAGGGATGCAGCGCCGCGGGTTGCCGTGCTCGTCGTAGCAGGGGTCCGGTGGAGAGGTCTGCGCCGCGAACAGGCTCATTCCGTAGCCGCCGAGGGCGCTCCGGAACGACAGGGACACGGCAAGCAGCACAGTGAGCACAATATCCACAGTCCTTCTCATGGTAGGTCCCTCGGTCCCCAAGTGTCTCTGCAGCTGATGAGAAAGGGAAAGCAGTGAGCATGTGGGGAGCGAGAGAGAGAGAGAGAGAGAGAATGTTAAGTTGGTGATGGCACAGTAATGTATACAAGTCTGTAAAACGTTTCCAAACAACAGCTGGGGCAAGAATTAGTACTTGACAGTGAAATAAAAGTAACATTCACTTGCACCACATGCACGTCCGGTTGGTGACATTTCTATTAAGTTCACTTTACCTGAGAAAAAAAGAAAAAGATTTCAAATTATACCGGCGATGTTAGGCTACTTTTTAACGGGATTCAATCACAGCTCCTCCTGTTTTGTTGTTTGTTTCTGCGTAAAAATAGAGGAGCTGCTGGATTTTAAGAGTCGCCAGTGTCCTTATAGCAAGTCCCACTCCTCCTGCCGGTCTTTTCACAATCTCTCTCTCTCTCTCTCTCTCTCTCTCTCTCTCTCTCTCTCTCTCGGGTAGGATCTTGCTTGGCACAGCTTTAGGTCAGCTCACTTTGATGGCTGACACCAGCGGAACAACGACATCCACTGGTGGCGCATCAAGAGATTGACGCGCGGAGAGACGCAAGTTACCGCAAGACACAGAAAACAGCTGGAACAGACACAGCATTGATTCAGTGCTTGCCACACCTTCATCCGAAGGACACCCAATACGATCATGTAGTTTAATCGTCGGATGTGCAATAAATTATAATATTATTAGGCCTATTATTGCAATCCAATGTAAGTAAAACGACAGTTATTATTGCAGCTATCGACGTTTAAATAAGAAAAGCTGTGGAAGTAACCGTTGGCTATTATTTCTTTTAGGGCAAAATTATCACTTCCAGGGCAAAATTATGTGTTGTATCCTAATAGGTACTAACAAGGCTATCCTTTGTAGTGCACTATAGACTAGTAGAAATCTAATTTAAGAAGCATCATTATAATGGCATCAAACAAAAAATGTGACCTATGTCAACCAGAAGTCTCTCTGAAAACTATAAACACACTGCACCACATAGGAACTTGAGACGTCGTTACAGTCACCTAAAGTAATTAAATATTTTTCCACCGTCGAACAAATGAAGGGATTACTTTTCTATAAAATATACCACATTCTACTATGTAAAGCGTATAGGCCTGCAGAGTGTGCAAGTTTGCTTAAAATAAGGGCGACTTAATTATGATAGATAAAAAGTTATCTTAGCATCGTGTGACCAAACTTCACACTTGTGCTGTCAGCTGGGTGGCAGGACAGCACATAGCCTACAGCCTCTATTTGGATATGAAATGACGCTAAAGGCTACTTACATGCAAACAACATTAGATCTTGAAAAAAAAAAACTTTTGCAGACCAGATACAGCTCCATTTATTTGAAGGACATGTCCCTCTTGTATTGTGGCTCTCTTGTGCTTCAGTTTCACTAGACCTGTTGAGTGTTTGCAATAGAAGTAACAGCGCCATCTTGTGCCCATGGACAGAAACGTCAGCCCCGCCTGTGCAACGAGTTGTGTCTTCTACTTTTCCCAGGTGGTGGAGGCATAACACCGTTTTATCTATTTATTTGGGCATTTAGGTGATTGGCTGCTGCATGTCTGAATGCTAGATATTGCACAACTATAGTAGGCTGCTGTTAGCCTGATGTCAATTCAGAGATACTTTTAGCATTGAGAGTTTAAAGAACACATTTAGTCATTTGCACATTTCCCTCAGTGGGCCTTCTGGCCTTGCTGAAGTTTAAGAAACATGTCTTGTTGTTTGGGACACTTTTAATCTTTAATGAAACAATCTAACATCTAAAGTGGGTCCTAAACCACACAAATAAATACTTTAAAATATAAATAAATTACATTATTAGCAGGATCCACTTCCAGGGATCATTTTTATCATCAAGAGGCAACAGTTTTACTCTTAATAACAACACAGGACGATCCCATTCTTCACTTGGTTTAAACAAAAGCCTTTAGTTCAAGACTTTTTTGTAAATGTTTCTAATTTCATTTCTGCTGTCCTCCCATGTTTAGGTATGATGAAGAATTATCTGCTTTATTATTGCTCTGGCTTTACCTCTCTGCTTCACTGTTAGTAGCTATTTGCTTTATATCTGCTCTTGCATGGAAAGAAGAATAAAATCTATTTTATCTAATCTCGGTCAGTTCTGCTCTGCTGTGGAGACACACTGCCTACTTCACCAGCTGGAGAGGAGAATAAACCCAGTTAGATTTTTCACAGCTGTTGGCCTCTTCAGAGGGTAAAGTGTCCAGGGTTGAATTAGGACAACCAGAGAAAAGTGTTAACACGATTTATACCTACAGCAAAACCACGCAAAACAATAGTTGTTAAGACTATTATCAACACACACGCAATATGAATTCAATCATATTTAGTGAAATGAGGTGACTTCCCCTATCTGTAAGTCGAGAAGGAAAATTTAAAAAACAATCTACTACTAAAAAAAAACACAGCACAGGAAGCAGTAAGCTATTTTTGAAGGCTTTTTTTCAAACATTTATATTTCAACAAGAACATAATGAAAATCCATTCACATGGAGAAGCTTCCCGTTATGGAAAGGATGAAGAGACCTTCATAAAACATGTCTTTGTACAGTAAGGCAGCATGTTCACAAATGGTAAGGTGTAAAAACGTGTGTAGCAGAAATTAAGGTGAAAAAAGAACAAATATGAGGCATAGGCTTTACCATGTTCTTTTTCTTTCTGTCTCTCAGAGGCTGTGTTTCTTGATTTTCAACCACTTTGTAGTTCTGAACAGTTATATTAGATTTGTGTTTCTTACTGTACTTCAGTCAGCAGCTCACTTTCTATGAGTTTGTCCTCTCAGTTTCATCCTCCTGTAGTTTTTTTTATTTCAGCCTATCTTGGTTTGTCTCTCTTCTGCATTTGCTTTGATTCAGTCATCTTCCTGTCATTTTTCCATGTCCCCTTTTTCAAGAGGAGCCCTCGGTGTCTGGGATTACCTGCGTGGCTGCAAGTTTGTTTTCTTATTGCAACTTAGAGGTCCAGCACTATATTTGAGGTTATATGGAGGTTATCGTGACCATTTAGAAGACAAGAGCAATTTCAAAATTACGTTTTGGGTATTAAACCTGCACACCTGAATTGTTACTACAATCTGAGGGGTGAATTCTACAATGAATTTTTAACATCACTCCTATTCATTTGTATTTTCATAATGCCACCGGTACTTTTCCTAAAAAATAAACATTGAATGCTGTATCATTTGATGTAACATGTTTCTTTGACAAGTGAGATTACATCGAATAGCATCAAATAATTTACCTGGAAGCTCTCTGGAAGTATTTAATACATTATGTAAAAATCTATCCTATAAAAATAATACTTTCTCTAATGATTATCAGCTTTCCATTTGGTCTTTAATTAAATGTTTAAATCACTGTTATGCATTCACCTAAAGGTATATTGCTAATGAGCTTTGAATTCAGATGTTCAAATGTTACCAGTCAAAAATGTGCAGAGCTGCATGAACTGAAATACTATTAGTGTTTACAGTCACTGTTTTGTATGGCTTTTTACCACAGAGAAGGGGAATTCACAGTCACACTAATACATGCAATGTAAATGACAGGCAAAGCACGACGGGGAAGTATCAGTGTGAGTGAAAGAGAGAGCAGGAATATGGAATATGAAGAAATAAACACTATATATATGTTCATATAATTACCTGCATCAAAATAAAAGTCATTATGCAAAACAAAAGTTTTTTTTTGTGTTTATTATGTTAAGCCAATTACGTACATTACTACTAATACTTGTCTAGCTTAAGAAAATAATGAACAAAGCCACAGCACCAAAACAAAGACACTTTACTCAAGTGTGAAAATAGCATAAAAACAACAATGTCAAACAGATGACTTCCTTCTAGGGGCCAACATCCCTTCAAAATCCACATGCAACCTCTCAAACATGTATGTAGAAACACACAAATACACTTCCCACCTATACACACCAGCAGCCTCCCTCATTGTGCTCACATGCAGCTCTCTCATACACTTCCTGTTTGCCCTGTTTGTGAGCCGCAGTGTGTGTGTGTGTGTGTGTGAAGCGTAGTGTGTGTGAAGCGCAGAAGTCTTTCAGTGCAGCAGAGAGCTACAACCAGCGCTGAGTTCATCCTTGTTTAGCTGCACTGCTCCACCGGGCCCAGGATGTGGGTTTGTCTGTTAAACCGTGATGTGTGTGGTGAATGAATGGCAGTGGCACTGAGCTGGAGACGCTTTGCCGTGGACTCTTTGGACTCTTTAGACACACACATAGGTTATGGATGCTGGATTATAAACTGCAGGTAAGACAACAGAGGCAGTAGTGGGCTCATTTTACGTTTTGTATTGAAGGGCAACTGCTGCCTGCTCTGTGGGCTTGGATGGGGACAGCTGTCTCTGAATGTCAGCCTGATGAGCTGAGGACTGAGTTTGTTTTACCTCATAATCTTCAGGGAACAATGACTGACACCATTGCATGTATTTGGAAGCATCTAGACATACATGTGCACTAAGTATCAGAGAATGTGATGATTTGTGAAAATATTATTTAGCCTAATTTATCTATCTAATATGATGGTAAATTGGAATTAAGGGGACTCTTGTCTTTATAGCTTGTTTGTTAGAGTCAACCTTCCATGTCGTCTTGCTTTGACTCGTGTGTTTTATAACATCAGAGTTCATGTCTCTGCAGGGTGAATACCCTGAGGTGTCTTGTTTTCTGTCAGAGGAGCTGATGGGCAGTGTCAGTCTCACAGTGATGGGAAAAGTAGGGGGGTCTATGAGCTCACAGACCCCCGCTGTGATACCATTTTGGGAACTTCTGCTTTTTCAGACGCTCTAAATGATTCATGCTTTTAATAAACGTTGAGGAAGTAGAGGTGCAGAAGCACGTGTTCAGCGCCTGGATGTAATCCTACTTTAAATGTCTGTGCCTGTATTTGTAAATGGGATCTATAAATTAAGTCTGTTATCTCAGATATCTGTGTCAGCATCTTAAACCCCATGATAAGGTGATATGGGATCAGGTAACTGGAGTAATTTCAATAGCTGTAGTCGGTTTTTCAGAGTAGGTGAAGTGTAATTGATTTGAACATTTACATGCAGTTATAATTCAACTTCATAAAATGACAAATACCATTAAGTTTGGGATCTGTTCTTAATTTAGTTGAAAACTGCTGTGAAAAGTGGCAACCAGGGATGCAAGTCAAGAATCCTTTTAGCTGTCAGTGAAGCACGAGTTCAGTCTAACACCATACAGTCTGTCAGTGGTCTTTGAGGACTCCACCCCAGTGAAACTGTATTGAGCCAACGCCTGAACTCAACATCCTTTTTAGAATATAAACCAACTACATGTCAGCCACATATGGATTAAAGGTACAGTACAGGTGCCTTTTGTAATGACTTTTTATTCAGGTTGTTTAACTAGTGATGTAGGTAACTGAAGATGGTAAATTGTGACCCCCAGTCATCTTGATCAGATAAGCACTGCTCGACTGACTATAGATTATTTCGGTTTACCATTCTACATTAATGTATCTTGTCTGCTACGTAGCAGAAGGGAGTTACAAACTCTATAACATGTTGTATTGTGACAAAATAAATCTACATACCTATCTACCTAGCTAAAACTAAAATTATTTTTTTATTTGTCCACTTCAAGTTTTTGCATTGTAACGTTATTGTGCTCACAATGGAAATATTGTCTTTTTTATTCCACATATTCTTCTTCCTTGTCCTTGTTCTTTGTTTATCAGACTTAACTCAGCTCCCTCTGCAGCAACAAAAGGCTTTATACTTTTTTCACACCTATAAACAGACTTGGCATAAAAGTTCCACTTTAATTCTCAAGCCAGTCAAGTCCAAGTCAGGTCTCAAGTCTTGTCAAAACAAGTTTCAGGTCAAGTCAGGACTTTCAGGTCAGAAAGCTGAACATTAAACTGTTCTTAATTCAACATTTGAGCATTTTATTTTAAAAGCTGATACCTTAAAGTGTGTTCTGAGGTCTTTTGAATGTAGGTAATGTGATGAAATATTCCAGCCGTGAGGCTATATATCAAATCTATGCAGCTGTGTTCTGGAGGGTGGATTTGATTCCACAGAATCACAAGTGGTTAAACTTAGCTTTGATTTATCTCTACAGCCACGAGGTATGTACTGCCTCATTTTGAATGGACAGCTTTTCTCTCAGTGGTGGCCTACTACGTAACAACTCCTAATAAATGCCCATACCAGAAGTTTTTCCCAAAAAGAAAATCTGAAGCATTAAATGTAATGATCTGCTTGTTGCTTGCGTCCTGCTTATCACACTCACTCCTGCACATAAAAAAGGAAGGGATCGTTTGTTCTTCTTAGAAAACGTTCAGTTACACAATCTGTTTGAATACAATCATCTCCCCCTGTTGAGAAATAAAAAACTGCCGGAGTAGGTCATGTGTCAGCCTGGAAATAAAAAACAAAACCATTTATGACGTTGATTGGAAATAGCAGATATTGGCATGCTTTATTGTTTTACCACAGATATCTGAAATGAAGTGTGGAGGCTGTCACAATGTGTTGTTTTTTTCATTTCACGTCTTGCCTGCTGAATATCCCAGTGCAGCACTGTGTGTTATTCACAATAATGCTTCCTGTTTATCTCTTTACGGCTGTGGTATCAGTAAAATCTTCATTTTCACCTTTACGGCACATACTTTGAGGTCAACACCCCAGTGTGTGTGTGTGTGTGTGTGTGGGTGTGTGTGGGTGAGCATATGCATCTCTGCACATGCACAACACACCTGTTGTTACAAAAAACATATTCAGTAATGTAAGCCTTAAAGCACACAACGTGTTTTTACCCATATTACATTTAAGCAAAGTTAAAATGATATGGCTTTCTACTGGAAATCATAGATATCTTTATCCTCATCATTGGTTGAGTTATAAAACTCAGTGTGAAGTTGAGCAGACAAGGTTCACTCAGTCCTGTTTGTGTAGCAAAGTCACCACTGGCTACCTGTTGTCTGGAGTGTCATAACCTGATACAACAGCACCTGATATTTGCATTCATGGTAGTTTCATCATATGTTTATCAGTGTTTATTGAGGAAGTTAAGACTAAAGGTTTATATAGAGTGGCTTTCTGTTCTCTAAGTAACAGAGCAACCTCTATGTTTTTGGTGCTGTAGTTAGATGCACAAGAGTATCTGAGTGTATTTTTAAAGCCAATACTTCCTACTTGCGTCACACACTTGCATATATTGTAAGTCTAACTGACAACACAATTATGTTGGACTCCTAATGAGGAAATCATTTTCTAAAATCACAATTAATTGTTTTTTCAACAACTGCCTTGCCTGCTTAAAAGTTGAGCTTTAACGTTTATTATTGCCCTTAGGAACAGCAGCTGACAAACCAGTCACCTCATGGCCAACATCACCAAGAAGTCCTTAAGGTTCTTAGAAAAATCTACAATTCCATGACAACTGGCAAACTCTGATTGAAAGCTGCAGAACAAGCTCAACTTGATGCAAATTTGTTTTATCAGCTGCCATTTCCTAGTTATAGAATAACTTCATTTGTGTCATTCACTTCATCACTTTGCAATTGCAAAAGATGCAAAAGTTTCAAAAAGCAGTCTCAGCGATGTGCTTTATGCCGCTTTTTCATCTGACTTTTACTAGTTAGACTGCGGAGTTCTCATCGGTAGCGGTTGTTTGAACTAAAAGGAAGCACTTAGTTAGATCAGAGCTGTGGAGTTGGACCACTGTTGTTTCCTAAAGCCATAAGAGGCCAGTTCACATGCACTAGGTCAGTGGAGAGAAAGGAGGGGATAGCAGCTCTGGTGGCCAGCAGAGGAAGACTGCATGTGAATATCAGACTCTATCAATCGGGGGGCAGTAAACATTACATGCATACTATACACACACACAGACACACAGACACACACACACACACACAAGCTCCCCTCCCTGGTCTGTGGGAGTATATCTGAGAGTCTGATCACACCACAACAATAGGGAGGCACCTGCTTCCTCAGCTGAGCAGGGGAGCTTTCTTCCTGTTAAGGAAGCAGTTGGTAATGGGATCAGTGGGAGAGATGGGAAGCAGGGTTTGAGGAGATGGAAGGAGAGTGCAGCATGAGAAAGAGACAAAAAGACACAGGTGGAGGCAACACTTGCAAAGCTAGAAAAGGAGCAGAGAGAGAAAGTGAGAGGGAGGCTGACTTGAATTCTGTGGGATGCTGTTATGAGCAATGTAGGCCATGCGAGAGAGATATAGGCTAAGAGGAATGGACAAGAGTCTATAATTAAATTAATTTTAATGTTGTTTCTTTTCTTTTTAGCATCAGATGATGGATGCTATTTTGTATTATGTGATATCTTAACTGTAAGTGGAGATGTAAATATAGCCTGCTTTCTGTTCAAATGGATTTTTGTCTCTGTTTCTCTGTTGATCTCAGCAGTGTGAATCTGCTTCACTTTTGGAGATTGTTTCAAATTGTTCTTCCGCTCTGAGAGCACTTGCTTGTTATTTTCTGACTGTTGTGAGTTGCAACTCATGAAAAAGTGGAAGTGACCTTGTTGACTCTTAGGGATGTGCTGCATACATCCTCTTATGAAACACCACAGACTCATGCATTTGCAACATGACTAGCACCTCTACGTAAACAACTATGATGACACTTTGGAGTTGGGATTTTATTTTCCCTATAAAATCCCAGTCCATGTATATTGTAGCACCGCTCATGGTACCATGGTATCCTAGCATTATTATATAACTGACTAATAAATCTTGTGTAGTTATTGAATTACAGTGTAGACGAATTATACTAAAAGCATTGCAGTGTATGGAAACTTTGTGACTTATTTTTGTCCAACTTTTCTTTGAAAATAAAAAAAATCGAACAAACCATTCTTGCTTCAAATGAATGTGCAATAAGGCTACTACTGTAAAAGGGTAACTTTCCACCAGAGCTATTACTACTGTCGGTACTCATAAACTCAAGAACAACACTTTCACTGCATCATGCCACCTCATATAAGGTCTTCACCTCTGTTATTACCTTTACAAGTCTCCATTGTACCCCATCCTGGATGCTGGAGTCATCACAGCTCCAACTTATTAGTTCCTTCCACTCTCACCGGGCTCTCATCCAGCTCTGTCCAACCCCGACAATCACCGGAGCCCTTAGCACAAGTGTCCAATACGCTTGGCTCTATACCCCTGCTCAGTGCCATTCAGGACACCTTTCAGACACAATACATCTCTGGGGAGGAGGAACCGCTGAGAAAAAGAGCTACATGGATGTGTTTACATCTGGAGCTGGTGGTATTGTTGTTGAATGGTCACAGTAGGAAAAGGGATGAAGTGGTGGGGGGATAATTGAGCTTCATTCCCCTGGTCTCCTGAACTTGGGTTTGCATGAGCTTCCTGTCCCACCTCTGCACCGGTGTAAATTGATGAGGTCGCTGGGTTGGATGTTTGTACAGTATATGTGTGTGTGTTGGTACTGTTTATGTGCGTATGCATGTGTGTTAATGTTGACTTTTGAGTTTACATTCCTTTAAAGGAATAGTTAGACGTTCAGGGAAGTACACTTAGTAGCTTTCTTAGATGGGACGAGTGACTCTTGGGACCAGCAGCTGGTTAGCTTAGCTAGCTTAGCATAAAGCCTGGACACAAAGAGAAACTGCTGGCTCTGTCAGAGGGTAACAAAATCTGCCTACCAGCACCTCTAATGCATGATATCTTGTTTCTTTCATTTTTAAATACATGAAAATGCACAACAAAAACAACACATGGTTTTACTGAGGGTTAAGTGCTAGTCTAGCTGTGGCGGAGTGCCACAGACTTATAATGAACGGGCAGATCAGAATCAGAATCAGAATCAGAATCAGTTTTATTGCCAGGTATGTGTACACAAACGAGGAATTTGACTCAGGATTGTACAATGATCATGATGTGCTTACTTATACAATAATACCATAACACAATAATAAAATAATAATAAAATAAAATCAGACACAAACTACAGAATAGACAACACTAATATACACACTATGAACAAAACAATATAGACATATTGACAAATAGTGTAGTGATCAGAGTGCAAAGGATGCAAGAATAAACTATTCTCATTATGTACATGTTGAAGGTGGATATGAGGCAGGTAGGGTGGGTGTGTAAGAGCAAATGAGTCATTCATCAACACTATTCATCTGACAGCCTTCATTTATTTCTAGCTTTCATGTGTAGTGGGGAATTTGTCACACTCTCTGGGGAAAGTTTGAGAAGATGTAATCAGGCAAAAACTGTTTTTGATGTCATTGTTCATTTCTGTCTGTGCCTGACTTCACTCTGTGAGGACTTCTTTAACAAACACACACACTCCTCATTGAAAGTAATAATAAATAATAATAATATAATAATATGTTTTTGAGAATTTGGTTATATATGTCACAAAGAAGAAACTGCTGAGCTGCTCAAGTTCTAAAAAAGCAATTCTTTAAAAAGCTTTGCCCTCTTTTCTTCAGGGAAGTTCACTTGTTCTGCTTCTCAAATTTGGACGTTTCCCAGTATTTGCACACGCATATACTATATTTCCAATAAAAAACTCTAATATGAGGTAAGAGAAGCTTTAAAAATATATCAAGCAGCAACATAATGCATTATCAGCAACTATGTATCTTTTCTGCTGACCACATTCCAGTGAATATTCATTAAATGTTCATTTTAAAGTCCTGGATCTGTCTGAACACAAAAGCCTTACACACTGCCACTTTAATAATCCTTTTCAAGATCAAAACAAAATTTCACAGATATGTGAAGTCTGATATTATGTACATTCATAGATAATAATATATCCTATTCACTCAGATGTATCTTAAATATTTGCTGCAATGTCTGCATTGTCAGACAGATTTATAAGACAAGTTTGTTTATGTCACGTTTCAACCAAATACAGGTCACAGTGAGCCTGGTCATCCATGTTTCTGTGACATGAACAATGTCATAAAATGCTATTCTCACCAAAAAGCAAGGGAAATTCCAAAAAGAATATTAATAAGTACATTACCAATGAGGTAAAACAAGACACTTGGCAGATGCTTCATGTTCATCTGAAGCCATAGTTTAAGTGTATGGAAAGCAAACCAAATTGCTTTAGTTGCTTTACACATGACCATTAACACCATCTTTCTCTTAAGTTACACTGTTAAAACAATATTTGATCTATGGATGACAATGTATTCATGTTAGTGCTGGTGAAAGTTAGTGTTAATCTTGTGTAGCTGGACTCCAACAAGCTGTTGGCAGTCTGGAGAAATCCTAAGATGAATGTTAGGAAAAGATGGAGATCCGGTAGGTTTACCTAGGTGAGCTCACCAAAGTGTGAAACCTCTCCAAAATTTAACGAGCTTGTCAGGACGGGGGTTCCCTTACAAATGGTGACAGTGTAGCAACATACTGTGCACATTGTGTTGTCCAACACGTGCTTCTTTACACAGATGATTTTGTGCCAGAGCGTATCAGGTGCAAGCAATCCCCCACAAAAACACCTGTGCAATTTCCAGGGGAATTCAAAAATCTTGCAGTGTTGTAGTTACCGGTGAAGAAGTGGTCACTGTACAACTTTGAGCACTTATGTTTTTTTCTTACCGCAACACTTTCCTTGGTTTGGGTAGCAGTGTTGGTTGACTTTTGGTTTTGGTTGGTTGGGGCTCACAGCTTTCAAACTGTGTCATTATACACCTGTCAACATATATGTTTTTTTGTATCTACCATGAAGAAAACCACGATTTATAAATCTGTCATTTAACCCTTAAAAATCGCTAGTGGGACTTACCCTGGTATCTTGTTATGCATGTGGCTTCTGATGAGATGTGTTCATAACAGAACTGAAACAACTTGCCACACCTGGGTTGTCCTCAGATGCCGCACGAAAAACAGCCAAATGCACTGATAGAGGAACATAGTGACGTTTGGTACGTCCCAGTGAGTCAGTGGTGAAGATATGATGTACTTAAAATGTTGTGGTCATACTGGAATTATATATTTGACTATTTTCATCATGTCTCTCTGATCTACAGCATTGTTTCACAACTCTGCTAAGCTTGGTACTGATATTATTGAATGAAATAACTGAACTGGAGTCATTAAGGGCTGTTTTTTTGTTTTACGCTACCATATAGTGACATTGTGAAAATTGTGGGCTTGTTTTGATTTGCTGTGGTGTGGCTGTCAAAGCTTGTTGACTAAAATTTAAATGTCAAGAATCCAGTAGATGGACTCATCCTTGTATAATGTAATTACTGCTAGTAGGAGTATATCTTTAGCTGTTCGTCATTTATTTTATACTGATTACTGAACATCTGTGCAACAACAGTTTCGATAAGTCTCCTGTAAAATTGTCAATACTTCTTCCAGTGTGTTTTGTGTGTGGCAGCATCTAGAAAGCCATGGAGCTAGAGGAAAAGGTTGTTGTTGTTCAATTATATATTTTAAATATATCACAGAACATGATAGCTAATGTAACCCTTTATCACAAGACTGAGGCAGAACAGGCGTCCAGTCATATGTGTTGTACTTAATGTGACATTTCAGGAACTATGGCAACAAAACAGCAATACAAGCAATACAACCTGTGTCTGTTTTTTCTTCCCCTTAGAAATGTCCCTTTATGGTTTGTGTATCTTCTTAGACTAATTTTCATACTTACTGGGTGATCTGCCTTCATGCAAAACAGACACGATAACACGTACTGTCCATGAAAAGAGAGGAGCTTGTTTGTGTGTGTGTGTGCATGTAACCTTAACTGATAACCTTAGATTCCACACAACACGTGAATGGGAATAGAGTTATGTACCATGTTTTGATACTTAACATCAGCTATGTCTCCTGTCCCTCCACAGAACCTGAGTGGTGAAGATGCAGCACACTTCGTGTACAGAGGACAGGATCCAGCACGCTCTGGACAGGTGTCTGGACGGGCTGAGACAAAGCCCCACGGCAGCACACCACTGGAACGGTAAGGCTACACTAGTGACGAGGACCACAGCTGAGTTTGGTTCATTTGGTTGTGTTGAATAGAGTTTAGTCAGGTCATGTAGCAGTGAAGCATGTGACAACAACTAATTATGTTTCTGCATTGCTACATTGAGGACGTTTAAAATACTGTGGGAGTTATGATGGATCTTCTCAGTTAAAAGTTTATACCTTAGAAATAAGAGCTTAATACAGGCTTGTTTTTAGCATGATCACAAAAGATTTTTCACTTTGTCTGTCTGTTTTAAACCTATATGATCAGAGAATGTTTTTGTCATGCAGTACTTTAAAACAAAGCCTCCAAGAGGGCATAACTCTACCAATATGCATCATCCTCTAAATTTATTTTATTATTGATTGCAAGTTTAATCAGCATCTGCATCCAGATATACATTGAAAAAATACACAGTGACTGTTAATCATGGGGCATATGTGCCAGATTACAGTGCTCCTGTATCTGAAGCCACACCAAAATCCATGGTCCATGGTGTTAACTTTCCAACATTATTTTTGGGAAATCCATTAACAGTCTTTTTTAAGATTACTAATAAACATTAAGATATACATAGTGGGACTGAAAACAGAATATCCTTGGCAGAATTTGGGAATAAGGTTTATGGAGTGGTTGTCAATGGAGAGGAAAAACACAGTCTTTCACTGTTTCTTTTAGGTGTTTGCAGCTCAGGTGGTAGAGCACGGCAGACATTTTTACATTCTCATTTTTCGCAGGAAAAGCATGTGTATTTGGTAACATTAACACTGCACTACACGTAGGTCCTGGTATTGTGTGTGCTGGCTCACTTGCATGCTGGGACCCTGAACTACTGTTAGTGCTGTTGGTTCCACCTGTGCATTTCCTGCTATTACAAGTCACAATGCAACAAAGGTCTATTGTAGGGTTGGCGGTGGGTCAATCCTGGCTCCTCCTGTGCAAATTTCAGCCAAATGAACATAACATAACCTTTATTTCATGTTTTTTGGTTGGTGTGCTAATCTGGAGCTGTTTACAATTAACGATTGAGCAGTCTTGCTCAAGGATTTATGGCTATTGCATGGGGTCAAACCTGTTACCTTCTGTTTCTAGGAAGGGAACACATTTTCTCAGAAATATCAACCCCAGCACACACACTTGGATATGATATGTGCTATTTACAGTACTGACTCGAACAGAAGGCGGTTGTTTGTTCTCGCTTTTTCAACACCAGGACAGCGTGTGATACACACTCTGCCAGCATATGGGCCATACAGAGTGTCTGAGCTTGTTGTTGGTGACACTGTTGCTGTATGATCACCCGGGGGAACGTGTTATTGGGTGCTGGAGGAAGTTGTGTGAATAGACAGCTGGGAGGAAGTGGTGGCACAGACCACAATGTGTGAGTGAGGCATCCTGAGGCAGGAGGCACTGTGGTGCAGGGTGTAAAAACAGGTCGGATGATCAAATCTACACTGGCCTCCCGCATGTCAACCAGATAAAGTGACTCATACTTCCAGCATGAAAGACTGTCATTATGTGATTTTGACATTTAAACATGTTAGCTGAAGCTGGAGTTTGTTTTTCATCTTTCCTTCGCCACTTCACTTCTTTGTTTCCTGGCATGGGCCTTCATCACTCCAGTGTCCGTTTTGTAAAATTTCCAGTGATGTCTATGATGTCTACGAGTGTAATCACATTCATGTGCATGAACTTGCACTTGTTTGCCAGTAGATTTCTACTTAAGTACTGGGATATTAAATTTTTTTATGTCAGAAGGATCATTTGAAACTTGCTTAATTTCCAGTGCTGGCATCTAATCAAAATCAACCCTTAGAGCTCTCCAGTAAATACTCATGATGGGTGCAAAGATCTTCAGAGAAAAACAGCAACTGACAAGTTTCTTGGAAAACATTTCTGTGTAAGCTGAACAACTGCTGATGTGTTACTTCCTTGGAAACTGAGCTCCTTAGAGATACACACTCAGAGGCGTTGAGACACCGAGGGATCAAATGCAAAGTAAGGTGCTTGCGAGGAGCCAGCAGTCACTCTCAGTTGTTTTTTGAAAGTGCGATAGAGCTCAGATTAGTGTGGTTTGAAATCATGTATGCACAGCCCTCTCCCGTTGTTTTTAGGTCATGTTTCCATTTCACATGGTCGTAGAAAATTTGTGGAGCTTGGTGAAACAACACATCTCTGTCCTTTACATCCCAAAAGCTTTAATGTTCTAACAAAACATTTCCAGTGGGCTTTGGTGAGAAAAGCATTTGAATTTTAAATCCACATTTTATATAACCTGGCCAATGATGACCTGTAAGAGTAATAACCCCCCCCCCCCCCCCCCCCCCTTTTTTGGGGCAAATTTCACTTTAACTCCAATTACGTTTTCTTTATTTTTGAAATGTTAAGTTCCAAAACAGGTTCATCTGGGGAGGATACCTAAACTCTGTTTTCTTGCAACAGGAAATCTGTCTTGCCAGTGTACGTCCTAACTGAAAAACTGAACAAAAGGTGCTAAAACACGCCCTTGAAGTGCACCAGCACTGACAGTTACGGGCTTTAAAGCCCTGTTGTGAGTAGTTGTGAACTTGCATTTGAGTCATGGGCGGTCCCAGAGGCAAATGCAAGATTGTCTGACACCCACTTGGTTATCAAAGTGTTGTATATACTATGGTGTTGCACTTTCACTCCTGTAGTCTATGATTTGTTGGATTTCATAACGGAAATGAAATGCCTCATAAGAACTGAAATTTCAGCTTGCAATAAATAATGCATGTTTGTATAATTGTTATTTTCTCATTTGCTGTGACAATATGCAAAAAACTGCTGCCTCAGCTCAGTGTCCACACAAATAGGTGAACTGGAAGTGCAATAAAGATGCGAAATGTGCAGTCAATTTAAGGTTAATGACGATATTGTTTACATAAGATTGAGCTTGCAATTCATGGTAAAAGAAATGTCCACTAATTACGTGGTAAGTTTCTGCTGGTTGTCCACTGTATGTAATCTATTAAAACTACAGCTACTTGGCGGCATTCTTGACAGTATAATCTGAGTTGCTCAGAAACCCAAACCGATATGGCCTTGGCCCTATGTTGGGACCTTTGGAGAAAATACACTTGACCACCTCTTCCACATGGAACAATATACAGGATTGGAAATTAGCACTCTCTGTCAATATTTTTGTTTCTAGTTTTCTCTATTTGTCACTTGAGGATTGAAGTGCACTCTATTCTTGTTTTGGTAATGTGTTTTACACTTTCTTAGCTTGTTTATGTTGTCTTGTATTTTCTGTCATAACAGTGACAGCAATTTTACAGTGCTTTCTAGACCAAGTCTTTCTTGTAAAGCAAGACAATGCACAACAAGAAACACAATGCTGAACAGAACATTCTTTTATTAGCTCTGCTACAGAATATACACCAGCCACATTTAGCAGCGATGGATAGTAAATTATATAGGATTACACTACACTACATATATAGCTATAAATACACTATTACACAAACAATTGGTTCTCTCTGTTTATATTCCAATAAGGTTTCATGACACTCCCTCTCCAACAGAATGCAACAAAAACAGATCCACAGATCCACAGTCCACAGAGAGATTTAACACCAGCATTACTAGTTGGTGTCTGTTGGCTCTGCTGGAGCACAAACAGGCAGGTTTTTTTGTCCTGGCTAGAGATGTAATCCTTAATTTTCTGTAACCCACTCACTGATCCATCATCACTTTGCACTCACATGCACTTTGGCATGGCATTAACCATATCCACAGAACTTCATTTTAAAATATGTTATGGCTTGAGAGGTTGCAGTGAAACATGCCTTTCTACCTTCGGAAATGTTTTGTGTTTGTACCACTTGTCTTTTGGGGTTTGGTGCAAAATGGTTGTGGGGTTTTCTTTCTGTGTGCATTAACATGACTCCATATGTGCTGTCTTTCAGTACTCATGTGCTCGGCGGGTCAGTCAATGAACCGCTGGAGCCTGGAGGAGATGGTGAAGAGGGATCCTGAGAACTTCCTCATCCTCTTGCAACAGATCATCAGAAAGACCAAAGAGGTGAGAGGGCAGAGGTCAAAGGTCATGGTTAAATAGAACATATTGTCTGCTGTATATGTTGTTTAGTAATGGCTATCTTTCTGTCTGTCTCTCTCTCAATGTGTCTGTAAGTTCAGGTTCAGGAGCAGTGTCAGTATGAACTGGTGGCTCCCCTCGCTATCATGTTCTCCTCCACGCTGCTTCAGGTACAAGCTGCCCTCCTTCAGATGTTATCAAAACTTTAACCTGTCATGGCCTCTCAGAACCATTTTCACATAATAGCACTCTCCATCAAAAGGTCAATCAGTTATTTGTTTCAATTGAAAAATCACTGTAACACACAACACTTACTGGCTTACTTTTTTAATCAAGCTTCTCTGCGTTCACACTCCCAAAAAATCAAGTGACAGTAGACAAAATCATATTACCGGTTACCGGTCGGCCCAACACTGTTGATTGCTTCAATAGGTAACCATGACTCTATACATGTATGTCTTTTTACACTAATTACTTGGATTAAAATACAACACACTTCTTGCATTTGTCTTGATTGTGTTTTTTCAGAAGGAAGTGAGAATCCCAGAGTTCAGTTTTTGCTGTGTAGCAACTGCTAACGTCACAGCATTGGGGTTTTGATGTTGTGACAAATATACCTTTGGTTGTTTGTCATAAAGCTTGTAACATAATAAAACAGTGGATTATGACACTAAACTTGGTAAATTATCTCATAAGGTGTGTAACATTTTAGTTCATGATGTAATGACAAAATTGAACAGTAATGTAATAATAAATAAGAACAAGAAATCTGTCATATAAGTCAATGTTGTTATTACATCATCAGTTAAAGTTATATTACACCCCTTATGAAGTCAGTTAATGTACTAAATTAGTGTAATTCCATACACATAAAAGTAATTGGATGTATTGCCCACCAGACATTAGAAATGCCCCCTCTATGCTAAACAACAACACAAGAATCCTCATACAGGTCTTGCTGTTCCTTTAAAGAACCCCACTATAATACCTGATTTGTGGTTTGGTTTCAGACACCATACTGTCCTCCAGACACAGAGCTGCTGGAGGAAGCTATTGAGGTGTTTCGCTTCTTCCTCACCTGGCCTGAGCCTTACTGCAGTGTGTGTAAAGACCTCCTCTCCACTCTACATCTGGAGATTAAGGCCCCAGGTAAATATAGATGGATTCATTTTGTTTAATGGCCACTCTGTGCGTGTTTCTATTTCTCCACTGGTCCACATGAGTCTCTGAAACACTTGCTGTTGTCTCTCACCCGATGTAATCGTCTTCCCCCTAGTGGCAGATCAAAGAAGTGTGTTTAGGATGACACACTATGCAAAAGATCACTGCTTAAACCCCAAATACCAGTAATAACACCAACAGCATTGACAGGAAGATGATAAGGATGAACTGGACACTTCTTCATACCAACGTGAAGTTGTTTGAAAGCGGATGTAGCATAAGCATTTACAAAACAAAAAAGCAGAAGCCACATATGAACACCTAGGCTGAAATTTACAGGAAGGGTCAAAGGAAGTACTAAAAACACAGAATCAGACTGAATGAAAACATTTGAATCAACTGAATGAATGATTTTTAAATGTTGATTAGTTGTTTTTGTTTTTTTTTTACTACAGACACTGTCTTAAATTATTTGAAGCTCTTTGCTGCTTTTGTATTTTTATATATATGTAACATTGGTGGTCAATCTATTCTAAACTTGAGTTTGTAATTGTGATTGTTTAAAAATGCTTATAATATAAATAGAAAGCCATCCTGGATATATAGCCCCACAATGTTTTTACACCTTTCCATTGACTTTTAACAATAAATAACATTGTTAAAAACCATCAACAGACAAAATAAAATATTTTTTTCTGTTTTCCTCACAGGGATTTCCTTTCAGAGACTGGTGAGAGAAGAGCAGGGCCTCACCACCCCTAACTTGTGCTCCAAGATCATGTAGGTCCACATAGTAAAGAAAAAAGTATTTTCTCTCTCTCTGACTCTTGGAATTGTAGATTATACCCTATGTACTCAATTTAAGATTTATAAGGCTCTTCATTTTCTCACAGCTCAACTGTGCATTTTGCACTAGCTTCATTGCAAGTGCTGGTGATATTCAGACATTTGTACTAGTTAAGGACCTATTCTGTATGAGTACACATGTAAATCTTGTTTGTTCCTTTAATCTTTTTTCAGTCCAGTTCAGACTGTGCGTTATCTTTGCGCACTTGCACCTTCTGCTTCCTTGTTGAATTGGGCTTTTGTTTCCATATATGTCACATGGTTCACAGTAAGTTTATCTGAACTGATTCCATACTCAGGGCAGCAGTAGCTCAGTCTGTAGGGATCTGGCTGGATAGAGAGGTGCTAGTTTACCTCTTGGGCACTGCCGAGGTTCCCTTGAACACTGAACCCATTTCTCCCCTATGTGGCTGAGTGGCCTAAGTTGTAAAAGTGGAGCGAAAAAAATGTATTTCCTGAAAGGTATTAAAAATAAAAAGCAATTCTTCTACTTTCTTCTTCTTCTTCTTCTTCTTCTTCTTCTTCTTCTTCTCCTAAAGTAAAACTAACACCATTCAGTGTCCTTAATTGACTGAATTATAGCGCTTAGGTTGTCAGCACTAACAATAGGTTCATGGCCTGGAAAGTCCCTTTTCATCCCATTCTCCACCCACTAAACCCCACGAACACCATAGCATCCGGTTTGCATCTACTCCCATGTGTACTTGTACGTGTACATGTTCACACATTACCTGTGTGACACCGTCTGTCTGTTGCCTACAGGACAGTGCTGCTTATGAACCCAAATGAGGTGCCCGCTGACTTTATCTCAGTGGCTGAGCAACTCAGTTTCATTCAGCACTCACAGAAAGAGACCTACATCACGCTGATCAAGCACGCCTTCCAGTCCACATTAGGCACCAAGTACCCTCTACATCGTATCTACAGAGCCCTGCAGGTAAGTGCTCACAGCGGTGGTTCAGAAGCTCAGGACAATTGGACTAGAATCTACAGATAGTTCTCAAAGACAGTAAAATTATATTTTGAGTAGTAAGTCTCAGTAAGTAAGTAGAGTAAGTAGTGTCTCAAATTTAATTTGTGGTGTTGTTATTTAAATACATATGAGTTTAAAATGAAATCTGGCCTAGCAGATGCTGCTTTTCCCTTTAAATCATGTTTGTATGTATTTAGAATGAATACCAGGAGGTAAATGCCAAAACTTTGTTTATAAATTATACTACCATGTAAGCAATACAGATGAAACTAGTAGCGTTCCATCTACTGTACCTTACATCCATACTTAGTTAACACAAACCATTAAAGGCTGTGTAATTATTAAGAAAATGAAAGAGGATGACAATACAGGAATGTGTGATGACGTTTACCTTTACTATACCATATCATGGATACTCTTTGCAGGTAAAAACTGTGATTGAATTGGGGGAGATCTTCTCCACGGTAAGTGATGTCTTAGAGGCGGCCGCTGCCATGAGTGACCCTCTGACGGGCCGCAGTCACGTGATCCAGGGACTTGAGCAACTGAGGGAGAGGCTGAATATCCCAGCATCCAACGGAAGGAAGTCTGATGGTAAGAGGGCAGGTTTCAGGAACTGGGCGATATATACACAGCATGTCAAATGAAAGCTGTATTTCAGTTTCCACTAGATGGTGCTTTGATCGACCGTTATTTTGGTCTTTTTTTTTTGTCATTGCTTTCAGGAATGCTCCAAACTCTACCATTGCCTACAGCAAAATGTTACATGTTTCGCTGGGAAAAAGATAACTTTGGTAAAGTATTTTGCATAGTACATTATTGATTCATACATGGGAATAGTCTTTCTACTTTGAGCTGATTCACTAAATCTATCTCCCATTTTTCGATACTTCTTTTCATGAAATTAATTTTTAAAGTTTAAAATGAAACATGAACCATCTTTCCAATACAAAGCACATATCATTTATTTGTTGTGTCTTTTTTTGATGCAGATGTTCTAAACACTCTTTTGGATCATGACCCTGATGACCTGGCAACTATTGGGCAGGCTGAGGATGAAGAGGAGGTAGACATTGATGATGATGAGGAGGAGGAGGAGGAGGAGGGGGATGTGACAGAGATTGATGGTGAAGAAGAGGAGGAGGAGGAAGACAAAGAAGAGAACGAACACAGAGGAGAATTGCCTTCAGTATCCATTCATTCCATTCCTAACGGCTGCAGCGTCAATCACCGTGCCTCCACCTTCTCCACCCTCTCCTCCCTGTCCACCGCCTCCAAAGACTCCATGTTCTCCACCTTGTCCATGACCTCAGAGTCCTACGCTCCATCCCTCTTCTCTGTCACTTCTGGAGCTGACAGTGACTATTTTGATGATTCTGATGAGAACATCTGCTCCTCTCCCGTTGCCGAAAAATGCTCGCCGAGGTCTATCAACAAAACTTCTGCTCGGCTGAGCCAGCACTTTTACCGGCTCTTCAGCAAACCTAAGAAGCCTCGGTCACTTTCCAGGGCCAAAAGCTTAGGAAACACAGAATCAAAAGACCTTGTAGTGGTGCGAGAGAAGCGCTCCAACTCTCTGCCACAGCAAGTCAAGTTACGTAGTCCTGAGCCCCTACTTCAGCCACAGAGTCAAACTCTCAGACATGTATGCTTCCGAAGGAGGCCCATTCTCAGCAGTGATGAGGACAATAAGAATACTACGCTGAGGGTGGTGGTGTTTGGTGCTGATCATGTAGCAGGCAAGGTGGCCCGGGCATACAATAGCCTAAGGAGGAAGGAGAGTGCATGCCCACGCCTCAGCAGGGCCTTCAATCTTCAGTTCTACTTTGTGCCTGTAAAGAGGGACTCAGCAGCAGGACCGGGGAATCTGAAGTTTACTACTTCTACTTCTATGATTCAAAAAGGAGTTGCCCTGTTTGATGTTAGTAGAGGAATCTTCACACTAAACTTCATACATTTAACATAAAGTTTTGGCTAAAACATCATATTTACTAAGCTGTCAAAATTCAGAGTTGTTACAGTGTAATAGCCACACATATTAGCATGTCACTGTTTGGTAATTGTTGCATTTGCTCAAGCAGGATCTTCACCTCACGGGCACAGGGGACAGTACAAATGACATTGCCCATCTCCTTGGTATGTTGGATCCTTGGTATGAAAGAAACACCCTTAGCCTGCTTAACTTGCCTGCCAACGTCGTCTGCCAGGTACAACCTGAATCTAACTTTTACACTGCCTAACTCTAACTAATCTAAAAATCTATCATTCACGTTTATCCACCTAAGAACATGACAGCAGTTATCATGCAGATAGATAAAGCCTGGACAGTACTTGAAATACCTTTCAACAACGTCCAATGGCTATACCTACATAAATCATTCTGCTGTATAACTGTATTAAATAGTAAATTGTTTTTGTATTGCTCTGCAGCAAACCTCTAAGACTGAGTCAGAGTCATATGATAGTTCATATGAGCAGCGTCTGCCCATCCTGGCTGATTTGGTCCTGTACTACTGCCGCTATGCCGCCCGACCAGCTCTGATCCAGCTCTATCAGGCTGAGGTGAGAAACACTTTAACACCCACAAAAAAAACAGTTTAACAGTTTAACAGTTTAAAAACACAGTAAGCCCTGGTATCCAGACCACTCTTATAAACAGAAATGGCATCTGGGTCTTAGTAATAACAAATGGAACACTGTTCCAAATTCAGTGATTGACTGAGTTTTTTTGGTGTTGTAGTTGACTTTAGCTTGTGGAGAGAGGAGGACTGAGGTGTTCGTCCACTCCCTAGAGTTGGGTCACATAGCAGGAACGCGAGCCATCAAGGCCATGGGTGAGTGTGACGCACACGTCAAACACGCGCACGTATCCTGGCAACTGTGCCATAAAAAAAGTGAAATCTTCCACATTTTCCTTTGCAGTGAAAGTAATCATCTGTTTTTATGAGGTTGAGACAGGACTAAATGTATGGTAGAGGAACATCTGCTATTTCTATATCACGATTCAGTCTACTTCTACTTTTCTAGTTTCACTTGTCACCACCACTTGAACTTCTGATTTTTAATTTCCTTTGAAAAGTAAAAAAAAAAATCAGGGGAAACTGTTTATGCCTCATGTTCAGTAGTTACTGTGGAAATGACTTTCTTCTATTACTCACAACACTGTGCACACAAGAAAGATCTAGTTTGGGTTACTGCAAACATATCTTCCACTATAAAACATTTAATATTTGCAGTCTTATTTAACAGTATTGTTGCATTATTTTGCACTATTTTGAATGGTATAATCAAAATACTACACTCGCATAGATCACTAATGTGTGTGGGTGTGTGTCTTTTTTCTCTCTCTCTCTCCAAGGTGCTGCCAGTAAACGATTTGGTATTGATGGTGACCGAGAAGCAGTGCCTCTAATGTTGGAGGTGGTGTACAACAGGGTAAGATGGTGTTTGGTTTCATTCATTTTCAAAAAGTATGTCTTGAAGCTGCACTTTAAAGTAATTGTATTCATAAATACGCCATATAATCAACAAAATACCATCCCATTTGGAGACAGTGCAGGTTCTCCCCGATTACTCAAATTCAGCTGGTTTTCGGTTGGTCACTTCTCTACCCACAGGAAATGACACATTAAAATTTAAGTCTGCTAATCAGCAAAGAGCACATGCCACTGTGTTCCCAGTGGTATGAAGCATTAGAGACTGGTAAACACGATGTCCCTCTTTACTGATGTTACAACTGCTCTTAATCTATTATCTGCCCCTTCGCTTTCATATACTGTTCCTAATTCAGAATTCCTGCAGTCAGGCTGCAGTTTTAATCTTTATGGTTTCTTTTTTTTCCAAAGCCGCAATAATCTTATCCTCTATTCTCCTCCCATTCAGGTGGTGATTAGTGGGAGAAGCCAGTGGAAAAGAGAAACCAAAGTCTGTACTTCAGTAAACTTAACCAAAGCATGCAAGAATCCTGAGGAACTAGGTATGCTACAGGCAGTGGCTACTATAATATTTGGCTTAGTCACTGAACTGTAAAATAATAATAACTATTGTTGATTGTTGCAAATTCAGATAATTATTCTTTCTCTTCTTTTAATTATGCCTTAATCTTTTCCTTTTCGTACCTTCACCAGGTGACGATGAAGCAATTACTGTCAGATGTGTTAGTGGTATTCATAATTTAACTAAAACAATCTCTGTCAGACTCAAAGATGGAGTGCCTGCAGCTCACGATGACTGAGGTGCTGAAGAGACAGAATGGTAAAAGCAAGAAGGGCTACAACCAGGTGAGCTAGATGTCAGTCTGTCTCGCTGGTTAAAAATGTGCTGCATCAGTACGCTTTCACAAACAACTTTGCAACACGTTCTCTATTTAAAGACCTCAATACATTCTTGATACCATCTCAAGCCTGTCTCGTGAATGTTGAGAAAAACAGTTAGCTAACAACTTGATGGAACAAAAAGCCACAACACAGGCAAGTGTTGTGTAGGTTTTGTTTGTGTGCGTTGCCGAACAGTATAGCTTAATCTCTTAACCTCGTTTTAGATTTGGAGCCTTTCGCAAAAATCACTACACCCCTCAGAGGAATGTAAGACCTACTTAAAAGATTGATCTTCAGCTCAAGGCTCTCTTTGCAACATGTGCTTAAAAAAACATCTCAGACAAGCTGCAATAGCAACAGCAATAGCATATCAAAGTGTGAAAGTGAACTTTATTGTCATTCAACCACCAACTAGTAGTGCACAACGGAACAAAATTGCATTTCTCCAAGCTCAACGTGCAAATGTAAACATCAAAGGCAAGTACACATAGCACAATAACAAGTAGACATAACAAACAGCATAGACATATAAAAAAATATGTATAGATCATGTCAAATGATATGCAAATGTGCAAATATATTGCTACAGTTTTCAAAGAATTTTCCACTGACTAGCTTATTTAATTTTTTTCTCCAAAAGGTTTATTCAATTAATTGAACGGAATGCCTGTATTGTCATTGCATGTTACATACAACGAAATATGTAATCTCTCATCAAAGAATCTGTTTCCATTCACTCTGCTCAGGCAAACACTCACATGCTCACACAGTAAATAAATGTGACCATTAAGTTAATAAATAAGATGAAATATGATGAGTTAGTTGTCGTTATGTGTATTAGACCATAGTACTGTGGTTAAAATTATTGTGGTGTTGGGGGCGGGAATGGGATTGGGGGGGTGAGAGTTCAGTTTGTGTATGGCTGTAGGGTAAAAACTGTCCCTCTGTCTGTAGATGTGGCGTTTCAGAGCCCTATAGTGTCTTCCAGAGGGCAGCAGTGTAAACAGGTGGTGAAAGGGGTGGGTATTCATGAGATGCAATGCATTTAGTTTTGCTGTGTTCCTTTGTTTTGTAGCAGCTGAGCATGACAGAGGTGAAGGTGGACAAGGTGCAGGTCAGCGGTGCCGGAAACACAACTTTTGCTGTATGTTTGGACCAGGATGAGAAAAAAATACTGCAGAGCGTCACCAGGTGTGGAATCAAGATAATCACACAAATGTTTGTCTTTCTGTACTTGTGAGGACCCTCATTGACAAAATGCACACCCTAGACCATAAATTAACCATTAAAGCTATATTCCTAACCCCAACCCTAAAACCTGAGCTTAACCTAATTCTAACCTAAACCAAGTCATTGGTCCTTTTAAGTGTTACACACCCAACTATTTAATCTTTCTAATAAATCTAATGGTTCTATCAAGTGGTGGTGGCTCCTCTGACCAAGCTTTCTCTTTGAACATCTTCAACACGATTATAAATGTAAACATCATCTTTCAGGAGTTTCAGATGTCAGAGAAATTATTTCTCATCTCAAATACAAACCAGACAGGCTTGTCTTGTTGGATACTCCCAGCAATTTGTTTACTCACCTGCATCCCTTTGTGTCTCTCTCTGTCCTATATAGATGTGACATATCAGTGTGCTATAAACCTGACAGCTTTACTGACTGGAGGCTAAGAAAATCACGGAACTCAGCTCAAATCCAACCTCTCCATCCAACCTTCTGCTCCCTCCTCTGCCTGCCCATAGTCACTTTCAGTGGAGCTCTCCCCTGAGACTGCTGATGACCACTGGTTTGGGTGGTTATTTATATGCTCTGCATAACAGACACTGACAGCAGAGGGAAAGTAAACAGGACATTCAGTTCTATTTTTCCCATTTCCACCTGGTGCTGTGGTCAAGTTGACATGCTAGCACCCTCAAATGGCAGCGGGACACAACTATTGGAAACACGAGGACTTGCGCAGAAGGTGTACTCAGGAAATTGCAGAACTGGCTGGCCTTTGACAATACAAACACATGCCAAAGAACCTGAGAAACAAGGAATGACTAGAGATACAATGTTCTAATGATTTTGAATACAGCTTTCTCTGAACAAAGCAACCATTTACACTTGTTAAGGAAACTGTTCAAATTTAGTATGATAGGTTTCACTTCCTCCTTCCCTGTTGGCCGAAAAGCTGCTTTACCTGCAGTAACATTAGAATATAATTTGGTCAAACAGGGTGAATCTACAGTACAGGATCTCAGGTGAAACGGCACCCAAACTTGCAACACCAATATGTTGTAATAAGCCTTTGTCCTACCGAGAGATGTAATGTAAGATCATCTTGAAATCAGCATTTTTGGACATGGAGGACCAGATGGATTAATTGTTCTTTTACACCTGTTGACCAGTGTGTACTATGTAATGCCTCCATTAGAGGTGATTATGGGACTATGTGACTATATCTGAGAATGGACACTATGAAATTACATAATATGTATATATATTATCTGTAAAATGCTGTATTGCACGCCCTAACTTGAATGTTACACCATAACGTTTTATGTCTGTTTTACATGGGCTTGTAGTGAAACATTTCTCCTGTGGAGTTAAAATGAAACCACTGTTATACATATGACCAGCAGGGGGCTCTGTTAACTTCCATTTGACTTCAGTGGAAGCACAGACTACTTTAATAATCCAGAGTTGGCAATCACAACCCTGTAATATGACAAATACATTTACCTTTAGCTTGTAGTAAAGTCTCACTTTGTAATACCTGTAATGTAATCTATGCAAAGTAAAAACGTTTATTTCATCTAAGGAACAGATGGAAGATAAATTTGATATTGTGGTGCTAGAAATACATTCGGATGCACATCGTCCTTCATAAAAAAGGAACTGTTTCATTGCACTTTGCATACTGTAAACTATGACATTTTTAAGAAAATCATATTGTTATGTTGCTGTAAGGGGATACTATTCAGATAACTTGACTGAGACTAAAATAGTAGCACTGCACGGACATATATTTAATAAAATTGAAGCACTTGAACATTAGATTGAATAAATTAGGTACTTTTATGTTCAGATAAATGCCTGTCACCACTGCCCTATCCCTACATGACATTTCTTGATAGAAATATTGCAAATATAATATTAATTTAATTATTGTATGTATATCACCTATGAGATGGATATATTTTAAATTCAATCTTCATTAAAATATATGTCTTCAACTGGAGATTCATTTTCATGATATTTGACTTCATTGAAGAGGCGTTTGTGTGTACCATCAAGTTGTTATGTGTAATGTACTATACAGCAAGTATGGGTACAGTGGTGGAATGTAACTGAATTTTACATACAAAAGTTAATGTGATTAACTTATAAAATATAATCATTGTTACTTTAATTGCCTTTTTATTAATTTCCAGGAGCATATAGAGGAGCCAGGAAAAAACAGTAATAATGTTCCAGCTGAAGTTGCATCAATAGGCTAATGAAATTACATGCCTAAACTGCTGATAAGATAAAAAGTACTTTTGCTTTTGATACTTTATGAATGTATGTATGTACGCATGAAGGATATTTCTTTTGTGGTGGAGATTTTACATTGAAAAATTACTTTTACGTAAAGATATTGTTATTCCCCAATGTATACAGGTGGGTGACAGAACAGCTTCAGAGCTCCTTGCCAAATCTGTGGAACTCTATTGGAGATAACCCTCAAGATATTCCCTCATTTATACAACCTTTATTTAATCAGGTAATATCATTGAGATCGAGAAGAGACACTTGGGAACAGCAGATAGAAAGAAAAAAAAATCATAGCCAGACATAACAAAGAGAAATATAAGAAGAAGAAGAAACCTTTTATTGTCACATACATGTTGTGAAATTCATTCTCTGCATTTAACCCATCCCTCAAGGGAGCAGTGGGCAGCCACTGTGCAGCGCCCGGGCTGCACACGTATGTATTACATACATCTGGAGTTGGTCTGCACTGACTTTTTTTGATGGTGGGGGAAACCGGAGCACCCGGAGGAAACCCACGCAGACACGGGGAGATCATGTAAACTCCACTGGACCACTGTGCCGCCCACATACGTAGTATCAGAGACATACAGGCTACTAACATCACAAAATATGAAGGAAAATTATGAAAGTTTATTTTATGTGATTTGGTGTTATGGTGGTGGTGGTGGAGAGCATCGTCTTACATGTTGGTCCAAAGTCTTCTATGGGTGTGAAACTGGTTTGAAATCTGGTCTGTAGAATTTTAATCACGTGTGACCCCTTGGTGCACATAAGCATTTACATTTGATGTGTCTCTACTCTTTTATTGGGTATTTCCCTTTAATCTGTGCCAAAACATACTAGTAATCTGAGGAAAGCAGTAAGATTATTGAAGGATTACTGTAACGATCTTATCTTATCTATCTATAGGCCTAAATGAACATTAGAACACCTGTCGCGTAAATTATATGGGTAAATGCTCTTACTAGTTACTGACATGCCATTGGTCGATTGCAGCAAGGGGCGTGGTCAGTAGACTGCTGTCAAACTTCGCCTGGAACTGAGGCAAGTGTGAGAGAGTGAGAGGCAACAGAGGACGTGAATGGATCTATTTGTACAACTTAACTGCAGGTACGGATGGAAATATTTAATGATATTTAATGAATATTTACTAATTGGAGATGTCTTTACATCTCTTCTTTATAGTTTACTGTGTACTTACTCGCGGAAAACTCAAAGGTCGACGACTATAAACCGTAGTTTGCAATTTGCGGATGCTGACACCTAACGTTACGTGTAACGTTAGTCTACTGTAAATATTTAGGCAAAATATAGATATAAGTTACATTTAATTCCGTTTAACATAAATCTCAGTAGATATTTTATCTTAAGTCATATTTTACCTTGGCTACTGTTCTTCCCTTGACCTGTTATTTGAGGGGTGTTTTTTGTCTTCATAGTATGACGATATCGTCTTAATGATGTTTACGTTTTCCACCGATGAGCCGGAGGCTATTATCTGATTAAAAATACCACTTACTGTACTATACAGATACGGTTAATTGTAAATACTGCACATGGTTGAAATAACGAGATTCCTATGCTGTTGTAGGCTACATATCAGCCGCCCTCAGAATTTTGTCAGTGGGCTCTCCGTCGTCTCTTACTCATGTGAGTCAGGCTATAAATAAACTTCCAAATATCTGATGTATGGGGCTGACAACTCTCACGCGTTCACCAGGTAGTGTAGCACCCTGTGGCAGGTAGTGTGCTAGCCGTAGCAGCTAGTGGCAGCAGTCTGTGGCAACTAGCGGCACTCAGTAGCAGCTAGTTGTACCCTGTGGCAAATAGCGGCACCCGGTGGCAGCTAGCGGCACTCAGTAGCAGCTAGTTGTACCCTGTGGCAGCTAGCGGCACCCTGTGGCAGCTAGTGGCACTCAGTAGCAGCTAGTTGTACCCTGTGGCAGCTAGCGGCACCCTGTGGCAGCTAGTGGCACTCAGTAGCAGCTAGTTGTACCCTGTGGCAGCTAGCGGCACTCAGTAGCAGCTAGTTGTACCCTGTGGCAGCTAGCGGCACCCTGTGGCAGCTAGTGGCACTCAGTAGCAGCTAGTTGTACCCTGTGGCAGCTAGTGGCACTCAGTAGCAGCTAGTTGTACCCTGTGGCAGCTAGCGGCACTCAGTAGCAGCTAGTTGTACCCTGTGGCAGCTAGTGGCACTCAGTAGCAGCTAGTTGTACCCTGTGGCAGCTAGCGGCACTCAGTAGCAGCTAGTTGTACCCTGTGGCAGCTAGCGGCACTCAGTAGCAGCTAGTTGTACCCTGTGGCAGCTAGTGGCACTCAGTAGCAGCTAGCGGCACTCAGTAGCAGCTAGTTGTACCCTGTGGCAGCTAGCGGCACTCAGTAGAAGCTAGCAGTACCCTGTGGCAGCTAGCTGTACCCTGTGGCAGCTAGCTGTACCCTGTGGCAGCTAGCAGCACCCTGTGGCAGCTAGCTGTACCCTGTGGCAGCTAGCAGCACCCTGTGGCAGCTAGCAGCACCCTGTGGCAGCTAGCTGTACCCTGTGGCAGCTAGCAGCACCCTGTGGCAGCTAGCTGTACCCTGTGGCAGCTAGCAGCACCCTGTGGCAGCTAGTTGTACCCGGTGGCAGCTAGCTGTACCCGGTGGCAGCTAGTTGTACTCGGTGGCAGCTAGCGGCACTCGGTGGCAGCTAGCAGGACTCGGTGGCAGCTAGCAGGACTCAGTGGCAGCTAGTGGCACTCGGTGGCAGCTAGCAGGACTCGGTGGCAGCTAGCAGGACTCAGTGGCAGCTAGTTGGCAGCTAGCGGCACCCTGTGGCAGCTAGTGGCAGCTACTGTGGCAAGCTATCGGCAGTTGAGAGACGCTTCACTTGATGGGGCAAATTTCCTAGGAAAACCCAGTGAAGTGTGCATGGTTTGTTGTCATGACAGGTCAGCAGCCAGGAAGCTTGTTGAGGAAGCAAGTTCTAAAGTTGTGGGTAAAGTTACTGGTAGAGTTTTGCAGCAGACAAACACCTAGTGTTACCAACAACAGCAAGTTTGATGAATTGATCTTTGTCGGTCATTTATTTGCCTAATTGATGTCTTTTACCATCTTAAAATGTAATAAAATTAAAGACATTATGACGGTGGCTATAATTTTTTTTTATTATTATATTTTTTATGCATTTGAGATTTATAGTGACATGGTAAACATAATGTATTCCCCATAATAAGTTTACTTGAACCACCAATCAGAACACCAATAGCTGCCGTTAACAATATTGAGACAATTCAATCACATCTGCTCATATATTTATCCCTCTAGATTCCCCTGAGAGGGTCATGGTTTTGGTTTTGTTTCCTGTTTTATTTTGAAAGTATTCTGCATGATGTTCTTGTGTGACTTTTATTTACCGCCTGTGTGTGTGCCTGTCTGATTGTCTTGACCACCCTAGTGTGTTTCACTGGTGTATAATTCACCTGTCCTCTCGTGTGTGTGTGTGTGTGTGTGTGTGTATCAGTCTGTGTGATTGCCGTCTTTATTGCATGCCAAGCATCCCAGTCTGTCTTCTGTGCCTGTATTGTGGATTTATATTTTTGATTTTGTCGGCTTCCCTTACCTGTGTTGTTAGATTATTTCTGGATTGTGGATTTGATTTGATCCTGATCTGCTTAGGTTTCTCTCGCGTGGGTCCTAATCCACTGTGTCTGCACTTGGCAAACGAGACAGTAAAATAAAACAGGAACTGACAGAACTCAAAACCAAAACCATGACGGAGAGTCCCATTTTTAAATGCCATGTGTCTCCTGTCCAACACACTCCACGTTTCAGCAACAAAAATACTCCATAGATTAAATACAATGCAGGAAAACATTCTTTCAAACTAACAGTTTTCTGGGGGGAAGATCCCAGAAGAAATTGAAAATCTGGCAGCCCTGATCATGCACTGCGACATGCACGGGAAGACACAAAGGAGGAAGGTTTTTTTTTTTTTCCCCTTCTGAGATAATAACAAGGGTTTGATAACAGTGCCTGATCTGATTGAAGCCCTGCCTCTCTGTTGTGTCTTTTGGGAGTCTTGAGAGCACAGCTGTATTTCCTCCAACTTCCTTGTTTTAGATCCGAGCTTCCTGGTACCACTTTGGGTTGAAGGGGATGCAGGGTGGCTCCAGTCTGTGTGTGTTTTATCTATTAGCTGTATGCTGGTAATCTTGTTTTCAACATGGTAATAGAGGAAATAACTTAAAATATGGGGACGTCAAATAACACTATAAAACAGTGATCACATGACAAACAGTTGTCATAATTCTCTTTCTCATGATGAGAAAAAGTAGTTAGTCCACATTGTGTTAAATTTGATCTCAGTTGTCTAATGATGAAGTTACCACACTTTCTCATGAGACTGTGTGATGACTGTCAAATTATCTTATGACTACATAGTAAATCATTCAGATACAATTTCTGGGATGATAAAAACAAAGATATTGCTGCAAAACGACATGTTGTGGATAGCTGTTTGGGTGAGGAGATGACTGGAACAGGCGCAGCATGCAATGTAGGATTGTAACTGCATCACAGCATCAACGGGAAGAATTTTTTTTAATCATAGGCTTAAACCCTTAGCATGTAGTCTAATAATGGTAATGAACAATCAGTATTACAACATTGTTGCTGCCATCTTATCAGTTTTGTAGAAGTGTCGTAATTTGCGATACAGGGTAGAGT